ATGGTTTAGAACATTGAGCTTATAATGTTGCAATTGAAACCTTAAGCTCACCTTCTCCTGCTCAATAAAATCAAAGGGGTAATATTTATCCACTAAAGAACAGATATCATCAATGTTAAAAGACTTATATGAGTCCTAAGGATCCAAAGCACCACTAAGAGTAAGAAGATCCATTATCTGTTCACCGAATCTGCCATTCAGCTCCAACAATTATGAATCTATGGCTGCGTAAAACATATCAACCCGATAGTGACGTTCAAAATCAAACCCTTCTTGATCATGGCGTTTGCGTTTTACCGCATAAGGAGACTTCATATTAGGAACTTCAATTTCATGCTTTGTGCAAAACTCTTTAACAATTTCTAAGAAGTTATCCCATCCACCCTCCCTTAACTTTTGGATCAACATTTTGGTGCTTGACAGTTGACACCAAATGCATAACATTTACTATGTCTTGGCACTTCTTCTGTATATGCTGACATAGAAGATCTGTAATGCCCATAATTTCTTTAATAAGATGCAACAAGAAAACAAAATCAAAAGATTTATTCTTCTTAAGTTCTCTAGCTGCATTTCCACGAGTAGAATAGTTATTGTCATTCTCTTCAACATCTTTTAAAACAGAACAAGTTGCAGCAAACATCCTAATCAAACTGTAAACAGAACTGAAATGTGAGCTCCAACGAGTTTCCCCGGCTTGTTGTAATGTACCAACCTAATTAAGTCCCCTGCTTGTTTCAAGCTCACCAATTTCCAACATTCTTGCAATTTCAAGTGCTTGAGCTTCCTTTAATTCATCACTTCGTTTGCAAGAAGAATTAGTCACATTAATAATAAAGACTGAATCGATGAAAAAATTGTGCACATATTTCACCTTTTTTTTTTTTTTTTTTTTTTTTTTTTTGCCGGAGAACGTTTGCCGAGTTTTATTAAAATAACCAAAAAGGTACAAAAGAAGAGGGGGACCAAGACCAAAACCTCTTCAGAGAGGGCATACCCTCTCGAAATTACAGCAAGGAATCAAAATAAAAAGCAATAGCGCAAAATAAACAAAAAGCCACATAAAATTAAAAGACTCGAAAATAACTCAAACCCAATTTATCTGTCACAACTGTGCGTCTAATATGTCCTGGCAACTGTCTGATGTGAAATATGTGATGTGCACATATTTCACCTCTCTAGAAGCAGCAACCAATGCTAATTGCAACTGATGTGCTAAGCAATGAACATAGTAGGCATAAGGATAATCATTTAAAAATAATCGATCTTTCCGTTTCTTTCTTCTAGGTGCGCATGTTTTTCATTAGTTTGGTCTGGGCGGTGGGCTGGGAAGCCTGGGATTAGAATTTGGGGTGGGTTAATGGGGAATAAATTTTGGAGTGAGTTGATATAATATTACTTGTAAAATTTCTATTTTTTTAGGCTCTTAAACAATTGGGTTTCTGCGAGTGGGCTATGCTTTGGGGGAGAAAATATTTTTTGGGGGGGTTCAAAATTTTTCTTGGAGGGGCGAGAATTAAATGTTGGGGGGTAAAAATAAAAATTATGTATATATATATTAAAAAAATGTTGGGGGGCGGCAGCCCCCTGGGTCTGTACTACGGTCCGCCCCTGACTACGGGGTAGTACGTAATACTTACCAGTTCATCATAGACTAACAAAGTAAGGTGCACTACAAAAAATTAACCTCAAAGCAGCCATAGTATAGTAGTAGTCACAAGTAAAGATGAGAGCAAAAGTAATGTACCTTTGAAACACTCTGGCATCAGGGGCCACCCTAAAACAATTTAGGGCCTGTTTGGATACAGTCATACAGTTAAAAGGGCTAGGGCTTAAAAGTCTGAAAAGACTGAATCTGCTGAAATGAAAGTGTTTAATAATATGTTGGCTGCAATGGCTGATTGAATGTAAAATTACTAGTAAGGGTATTTCTTGGGTGATTGGCTGCAACTGTAATTGACACTATTCTTTTTTTTAACGACGTAATTAACTCTATCTAGAAAGCTTAATTGGAATACTAATAATTCATGAAAATTGTATAGGTGTTACCCACTTTTTGGAAAGATGCTTTGTTTGCTTTTTACTCCGTATTTTGCATTCAAATATACTCCGTATAATCATATATACACTTGGTTGGAGTGCGGCGATCAAAATGTGATCTTAGATTTTCTCTGCAGCAGGTGTAATACAGCGAGGGCAGAGGAGTACTTTTGATTTTAAACAGTCCATTAATACCTTTCAGCTGAAAAAGTAACTCTTTTGTTACTTCTTTGGCTGATAAGGAAAATCAGCCCAAACAGCCCAAATGACAAGTGTTTGGCTCTTTTTTTACATTTTAAGGCTTATCAGCCTATTTTCAAGGCTCCAAACAGCATCTTAGTGTCCGTTTGGAGGGTTAGGAATTGGCTTATAAGCCTTAAAATCTATAAAAGTAACCAAACACTCATTCAATTGGCTGATCTGGCTGTTTTTTATGAGCAGCTCAAAAAGTAAGTATATAGCTGCTTTTTCAGCTGAAATCTATTATTCTTATAGTAGTATTAAGCTATCAAAAGACACTTTTGTCCATGTTCTTTAACTAAAAAACTCGCCTCTATGGCTGTAACGCATGACTAAATCAATTTGTGGAAGCACTTCGTACTGCATATACTTCGTGACTAGATTGAAGTCATTTCTTTTCAAAAAAAAAAAAATAATATACTTCGTATTATAGCAACAACCCCCTTCAACATTTTTTTAATTTAATTGGTAATTGAAACACTTAGATAGATTATTTAATGGTGTAAATAATATTAATACCCTTTGTGGTAATTACACGCTCAATCAGCCACTTCAGCCTAAATAATACCAAACACGAGAAATTTGTTGATTTAGTCCCGTAACTTATAGCTATACCCGATATTGGTCCTGTAACTTTATTAACTTGCAGATTACATCCCGTAACTAATAAGTTGGTGCAATTTTGGTCCTTCTCTGCCGAAACTTACCAATTTCGCTGGAAAAGACACATCACCTGCCACATGATATATTATTTGGAACACATTTGCTGACTCAATGTTGGCCCTTAGCTAGAGTTAAAAAATTATTTCTTCTTGGTTGCAGCAGGAGCATTTTGAATGAAGTTTAAAACTTTTTGGATTCATGTTTTAAGAATAAAGCATTTGAAATGTTACATCATCTTCACTTCTCACATCTTTAACATGAGAAAGACCAGGAGCAAAAACACTAGCCCCACAACAACTATGAGGAGCCTTTTATTTTTAGCCTTCAACTTTACAACCTCTTCCTCTTTTGAATTGAGTCTTCTAACTAATCCCGGAATTATCATCGTTCAACGATGGCTCATAGGTGGGTCCGCCCATTCAAAAAATCTGCAACCTTCTGTCTGTATCAAAACAAGATGAAGCATAACTTATTTTTTACTGCTTCGAACACAAAAATACATTATCAAATGCCCCCAACAAATAGAAGATGGTAATTTTATTAGCAAAACCTAGCTTAAATTATAAAATACATTTTAATTTTCAAACAAATTTATTATTCAAATGCTATTCTTAAATTTCTAGTTTATTTAGTAAAAAAAGAAGCAAACAATGTAAATTTAAAAGCTGAACTTTTTACTCTGCTTCTAGCGCACACACGAAACCTCCTTCCAGGATCGTTATCAGTCCAAGAAGTTAGAAGAGAAACCTTTTTACCACAATCACACTCCATAAACTTTTCTCTGATCGAGAGCCGTTACTAGCAGATTTGAAGAATAACTCACTCTCTCGACTTAGTTCAGGAGAAATCTTCGGGTAGAGTTATATGGTCTTCCCCCCTTTTGCAGATCCGATAATAGGCTTGGTATGGTTGTGCACGCACTTAGCGAAGAGCTTTCGTACTCTGGTTTTTTTAACTCCAGCTAAGGGCCAATATTGAGTCAGCAAATGAGTTCCAAATAATATACCATGTGACAGGTGATGTGTCTTTTTCCAACGAAATTGATAAGTTCCGGCAGAGAAGGACCAAAATTGCACCAACTTATTAGTTACAGGATGTAAATTGCAAGTTAATAAAGTTACAGGACCAATATCGGATATAGCTGTTAGTTATGGGACTAAATCAACAAATTTCCCTACCAAACACTTTCACAGTTCACTTCAAAACTTTCAACCATTAAAGTCAAATCAGAAATTTCAGCTGTTACAGCCAGTACCAAACAGACCCTTAGTCACTGTCTTCCCTTCCAATCTAATATCTTGAACTTCTATTTGAATTCAACCTTGGACATCTGAAAGACTTGGTATACAACCTCAAAATATTGTATTCCAGAATAGAAAAAAAGAGTTTATGAAAGTAGGTGAACACCAGCACTTGGTACCAATTGTAAGCATAGTTTTCACATAATTCTTCAAACACAAAACTTAAGGGTACCTTACATGACAAGGAGCAATTTCTTAATCATTAATTAAATAACCCTCTATTTCACTCAGGGCGTGTGTGCGCGACCATTGTTTATACCTCCATCTATATCAGAGTTTTAGGCCCTGTTTGGAAGCACCAATCGGCTTGTTCTGCTTATTCTACTTGTCAGAGAAAGCAGAGTTTATGAAACTTCGTATGATTGTATTAATTATTTGGCTAATTGTCTGCACCAAATGCTTTTCCTTCAGGAAAACCCAACCGATTCATTCATTCCAGTCAAATAATCCTTACCAAACAACATATAGATGCATGCACAGCATATACATAAATTTAAGAAGCACAACAGTAAACCAAATTTTAAGGCATACACAAGGTTTTCCATTACCTTGTAATCAAATTTGTCTAACACTAACTTCTTTGAAATTGCATTAAATAGCTATTATACAAGAAGCCTTCCAGACTAAATATCCAACTCTTCCTATAATTTCAGAAGACCAATTCACGTTTTCATGTACTGCAAAAGCCTTCTGAGCCCTACCATCCACGGCAAAGAATACATGGTACACAAACACAATACCATGCTGATGTTTCCTGACCTTCTGATGACAAATCAAATCAAACCACGCCTTCGGATGACAAAAGGCTAAAAAGAATCCTGCACGAACAAATAAAAACAGCCTTTACAATGGCATTGATCAACTGCAGTTCTTTTGCCAGAAGATCCTTTGTAGTCAACTGCTAGTTAAGAAACATGAGAAATTTCATGTCAGATTAGTCTAACAATTGTGGCACAGTTGTCAATGTTTAATGTCATCATGCTGCAAGTCTACAACCTTAGTCGTATCAAAAGAAATACCTAAAAAGTGTTGGCAAACAATTTCTCATTAATCACGCCTCATCCCTAAAATCTTTGCAGATAGCTCCCATGTAACTATGGCAGCAGCATTAGCTGGGAAAGCCCTAACCAGAGTAGGACCTAGACCTGTATAGCATCCTCGAATACCGGATAGCCTGTAAATCTTGACACACAGAAATATTCATGGATTCTGCTTTTAAACCTTGTCCGCAATAGCAATCTATGAGACAAGAATAAGTACCGTTTGTAAAATCTGAAAAGGATTTCGTGTCTGGTTTTTATCAGGGGTAGTTTGGATTATAGTTTTTGCGACATCCAATGGCAGAACAGTACACCAGCACTGATGAGAAAGGAAATAAAATCATATCAATCAGGTAGGATACTGAGTTTCCATAGATATTAATACTAAACTACAAAAAGAATACACACCGCTATACCACCAAGGCCACCACTTATTATTCCAACTCCCACATCAACCAATTGATTTGACTTAGATGAAGCCCCTTTCAATTGAAGATGCATCTGATAACGTACATACTCATATGTGCTAAAGAAGATAGCATTTCCCACGGATTCTCTTAACAAGGTAGCAAAGCCTCCTCTAAATATGCCAGTAATCTGAGAAATCAGAAGGTATTATGTCAGATTCAAACTAATCAGATGGCAAAACAGCTTTGTAAAAGTGTTTGGTTCCTCTTACAGTCTTACCCCCTCAGTTTTTACAGTTCCAATCGCACATTCAAGAGGACCACTGTATCTGGCTGAGTTTGGTAGAAGAGAATCTATGCCCTGAATTTGCATCCTACACTGGAGCAGATAATTTCAATACAATGGCACTGCTGTAATATTAGTATTCCACTGGTTAGGATCTTAATATAAGTGTGAGGTGTACCTCATCTATTACATGGCATAACTACCTAATTCGATAGTGGTTTATGGGATGCCTACGGAGTTGCTGGGCGTGCAGCCTGTTTGGACTTGGTTTAGACCCATTAATCCACCCTTTAAGTTGTCCAATCTGATTTGGCTCAAGGGATGTGTTGAGTATCCCACATGACAGTGGTTGTCTACTAGATTTTGGGGAAATATATACTACGAATGTCTGAGGTAAAACTCGTCTCTTAACAATCCTTTTGGGTGAGTTAAGCCAAAATTAACAAATTGGATGAAAGGAACTCATGCGAATAGCTTACCTTAAGCAGCTCTGAGGGGCACAGTATGAAGCTGATAGTCCCTCCAGCAAATGCCGCTGATGGAACAATTACATGAGGCTTTGGCTTCCCATCACCAATTTCTCCCTTCAAATTTAAAAGGAAAAAGGTTTGATCAAAATCCCAAACTGCTGGATTCAAGAAAAGTAGGTGAACAGAAAGTCAGAAATAGCCGATAAGGTTGTCTGGATTATAACGTAGATCAACCTGAAGGAACCTTTTTGTCTGTGAATAAATGCCAAAAGCAAAGGAACTTTCAAAAGCCATTCCAACAAAAGAAGATGTTGCTCCTCTGTATAGGCCTTTCACCTGTGAAAACGGTGAAACATGAAAGCAGAACTTCTTGGGAAAATAAATGATGTCAGATGCCAGATGTTGGTGTCTTAAAACTTTGAGAAAGGAAGATATGTTCCTCAGTTGGAGACTTGGAGGAAAAGATAATGATTATCAAATAGTCAACAAATATGTGTACTAAGCTACTAATGATAAAATCATACGAAGTGATTCTGTTCCTTTGTTCTTCTGTCCCCTTTTGTTCTTTTTATTTTTACCATAAGGTGTTTTATGCAGTGTCTGCTTATCCCGATCAATCATAACCGTAACGGAACAGTTATACATATATCATTAGCTTATTCAAAACTTATCTTGGTCCTCACAGGTTTCCACAATATATTTAGGTGTTCCTCTTTAAAGCAATGTTTTCCTTTTATTTGTGAAGTTCTACTTTTGTTCAACAGATAATTGGCTTTTTCTTGCATTAGTTAAGAGCAGCATTGCTGAGGTCATCTGGACTTCTAGAGAACCCAAAAACTTATACTACATATTTATAGACTCAGTAAGGCTCAGGGACCCTCAGGCCCTTAACGCAAGTAACTTGTGATAAAAATACACGAACCCATAATAGTAATTAAAGTGCTCAAAACGATCTCACACTACCAAAAATGCCCTCATTAATAACAACACAAGCCTACATAAACTCAAGGCCTTTAAATAATAAGGGTAATGCCGGGGGATATACCCTGTGTTTCACTGTAATGATATAAAGCACTCTAATGGTGATGATTATCACACCTTTTTGCAGATGGCTTTAGGTTGAGAATTATAATATCAAGCTATAAACTTAAAACACAGGATTCAAGAAGTCCCACTACTGATGTCCATAAAATAATCCCCCGCGATTCCTCCAAGTCTCCATCTTTCTACAGAAAAAAACTAAATTTCTGCCATAATGCCCCCTTAATGGAAAATGCACAAAAGGAAACAAACATAGATAGTCCGCAGACACCAAAAAAAACATAATAGGATCTGAAATGTAAAAACAAAGCTAGAACCATACTCCTTCGGCCTTCAATATCCTAGCAGCACAATGCAATCCATTCTTGTACTTTATACCATCGCTAGAAGTGTTATGTTTCTGGAGATTTACCTGATACATATAAATTGCAATACTTTGAAGATTTTCCTGACAAAATGCAAATGACGACATTCGGAAACAAGGGTGAATTGGGTGGGAATACCTTGACTGTGTCAAATGGATGACCGGTAAGCACAGTGGCAACTCCGGCTAACATTCCTGCTACGTAATCTTTGTACCCTGAGCTCTCCCCCGGCATATCTCTTCTCCGTCTCTCTCTCTCTCTCCCTGAGAACTTGTGGTCGGATAATGGGGTGAGAATCACGGTTTCAGTATTACGTATCCTGCTGTGCAGTTTTACAGGGTTCTACTCCGGCGTGATTATTGGCTCTATGGACCAATCGTACGGCATCCAAACTGCTTGGGAGTTGGGACACACGGTGGCTCTTTTGGCAGCGCCGCTATGTCTTAAACTGAAGGCTGATGTATGAAATAAGGACTATTGTCTGAAACAGAGAGTATTGTCTCGAATTAAACTTAAAAAGGCTGAATTTGAATTGCTAGCTGAATGGGGTAAACCCGTTTGGCAAAAAGAGCTAAACAAGTGCAGAGATAATATGAAATTACATTAAAGGACATGCGATTTATTAACATAACATAACATAACATAACATAACATAACATAACATAACATAACATAACATAACATAACATACAAAATTTATCATTAAATTACATAAATGAACATAAGGTGATACACGTGGTGGAGCAACTCCACACTTGGCAGATCAACCTCACTCAGAAACAGAAGAATACTCTGATCGTCGATCTAATGTTTCATATTAATTATTAATTCATACTATATTACTATGCACAAAAGAAATTAAATAAACAAAAAGAAAGATAAGGGCCTGTTTGGTAACGGATGCAACGGCTGAATAGGCTGAATAGACTGAAAAGACTTAATGTGCTGAAGTGAAAGTGTTTGGTAATATGTTGGCTGAAATGGCTGATTGAGTGTAAAATTACTATAAAGGGTATTAGCTTGTTTGTTTTAAATATATGGGTATGATCTTTGTTAGTAAATTAATTTTGCTTATTTAACTTATGACATCAATTTTTTTACTCTTATGGTTAGTTTATATTGTTCTATACAAGTTTTATCCTCCAAAAAACACTATTTTTTCTGAATGAGTGACATTAGTAACATGTGTAAATTAATTTAAAAAATACACTTTCATTAAAATATATGGATCATTAAAAAGCTCACATTCATTGAAATTAAAATAAAAACGAAACAAAAAGTACACATACGTATTTATTAGAGACTTGGAGACTTGGAGTTATAATATTACTCAAATCCATAACAGTAAAGTATGTAGTATTTAGCAACGGCAGATGGATGGGTTGAATTGATGACTCCATATATGTATCCAACGTTCGTTCAGGTATAACAGAAGGGTAAAACAAGTCTTTTTGGTCACCAACGCAAAATAATAAGAATCAGCCGAAAAAGTAAGTAAACGGTTGTTTTTTGAGCTGATAATAAAAATCAGCCCAAACAGCAAATTCAGCTAGTGTTTGGCAATTTTTTTTATACTTTCAGGCTTATCAGCCCATTTTGGGTGCTCCAAACGCCCTCTAAATGTAACTTGAATGCAACAAAAATACCACCAAACGCGCGGACAGTGAGGGACATACCTGGAATTCGAAGCCTGGAATCAGAAGACTTATTACAAACGTTAGTGATGGAAACGTTTCATCTCAGTCCTTTTTTTCCAGCTTAAGGTGGCTTCAGTTGCTCAACCGAACATGTCTACTTTATATTTAATCGATTGCATTTAAACAATTCAGCCTCTTTTTTTAGCTGAACAGGCATGCCGAACAGAGCCTAAATTGATTATTTTAAGTATCAGGAAAAAATGTGACTAAGAAGCTCATATATTGAAAAACTTGATGTCAATGCAAAAAATTATGTCATTGCGGTTTTTCATGACACTAATAGGCCTTAAATTATTTGGTAAATGACTTATTAGCTAATTTTTGGCTTCTTGAACCATATTTAATGATTTTGACTATGTAAAGAGTCAAAATTAATAGGGCAGAGCCGCCGCGAAGTAATTTCTAATTTCAATCTTTCTTGAATGAAGTTCGGTCAGTGTTTCCCTAGCGAGATCTCTCACGTAGGGTTTTTACTTCGCCGCCCTGGTGCGGCATTTTCTTTCAATCGACGTAGCACTACGCCGGATTGCCGTGGTTTGGACGTAGCTCGGGATGGATGATCGTGGCAGCGAGAAGATGGTGGAAGAAGCGAGAGAGACTCTAAGGATGATCGGGATGTGGTTAGCGTGGAGAGGCTGAACGCTCCATTCGATGGCTTGGATTTGGATCATATGGCGGGCACGCCATTGAAAGAGGGTATCAATTGAGCGACGGTCCGACCTCCGCCTGAACCACTACCATGGGTTGTACAAGGTGCAAGAGTCTGTGGAAGTGAAAGTTTTTCCTAGTAATTTTTATTTGTTTGTCATTTGTTTTCTTGTGTTCATCTTTGTTGTTGGTTTTGACAATTTGTTTGAGTTTTTAGCCTCTCTTTATGTCATTGGGTATGGTTGGATCTATGGGAACAAGTTTGGCTATGTCAAGCCCACAACATGGTTAGCGATTCGTGTTGCTCTTTCAGGTGTGACCGTCTCAAAGTCTCATCATAGGGTTACAGTCGTAATTGTTGGAGTTTCAGTTGGTGTCAGTTTTATTTTCTCTTTGCTTGATGTAATGATCCTGAATCTTTTGATATAAAGACATGTTTTGACGATAAAAAAAAAGTCAAAATTAATGTATGGTAAGTGGATGGTTGACTTGACTTATTGAATCCAAAAAGGTTGGGGTCTGGAGCGCTTAGGATCGGCGTTTTCTTTTTCACCTTTGTGTCCTTCCAATTTAACGCACACAGCCTCCAATTATTATCGTGCCCCTCGTTTAGAATTCCTCGACCAACATATGCAAATCTTCCTTAGAAATCTGTATTCTTTCACTATCTACAAATATTGAGGTATGAATTTGTATGTGTTCGTTTAATTTCTACTCTGTAGTTTTTTTAATGTTAGTTTCTATATCAGCAACTCAAAAGATATTCTTCTTGTGCCCCATCCCTTGATTTACGTGATAGGATACCCTTCATTTTTGCCTCTATGGATAAAAGTAAACTTGCTAATAAAACAAAACTTGCTATTAGTAATATAATGTTGATTTACGTGCATTGCACATTTACTTGCAATGTAGTCAAAGAGCGGCGCATCTTTAACTTTCACATTTGTAATGATGCATGTAACTTTTCTCTCTATTTTAGAGTAGGATACGGTTAATGATTTTTTTTTACTCCAGGGGGTTGGGTGGTCTGGAGTAATCAAGGATGAAACTCACTCTATTGAGTTTCAACCCTTATGTGCCTAGCGGGATTCGAACTCGAGACCTCCGACTAAATACGATAACCTCACAACCAGCTAGGATACAGTTAATGATATACATTAATAAGATCATAGGAATTTCATGCATAGCGTTCAATCATTGAAATGATATTTCCTACATGGCAGTCTACACAAGGGACCAATATCATTATATTTCACCCTGAAATGGATAAGATTTTGTAATGACATACTTTTTTTGCGGGTGCATTCGTAACTACTTAGTGTATTTAATAAAAGTTTCATTCAACTTTTACTTTGCAGTTATTGTACATATTCGTAAGCATATAAGATATTTGGCTCGTAACAAATAAATTTTTAGACATGATATTATATTAATTGTTTACCATTTTTATTCCAATGTAAGTATGTGGACAAATTGGAATAACGATATTTATTTACTGAAAATTATTTTTGTACAAATATGTGTTAACTTCTTGATTATATAGTTGATTCCATTTTATTTGAAAGAACACTGTGACCAGTGTGCCAAAAGGCGCCGCAAAGACGGGCCTAAGCGTGATGTGTCAATGAAATGCTTTGATTTCTCCATAGGTGTGACCAAAAGCGAAAATAATAGGTGGTTGAACTGTTACGTTTAAAATTTTACGGTTTTATGAAATTTTAATTTTACATTTTTAATTATAAAATCAAATTAAAATTGATTAGGGACATTTGTGTACAAGTAGGTGGTTTTAAGTCCTATGAAACATGGATTTGATTTTTTGTCTTGTACAAATGAGGATAGTCATCAATCTTATTTCCCAACTAGGGGTACTTTTAAACTTATTTCCCAAAACAGGGTGTTTTCTTCTATGTCATCCATTTTCACCACAGTTGAACCGACGATCAAATTGACACAGTTGAAGCACAGAAACCACTAGACTACCTTGGAGAGTTGTTGTAACATTCCTTTAAAAGCATTTAACATCTACACATGTTTAAGTGCAGGATTGCACTAATTTCAATATTGCACAAGTTGTTTCTTTAGAAATATACTCGGTATACTACTACTCCTTCCTCAAACAGCTAGAAAAAATGATAAAATACTTAATTGGGGATATGCAATAAAAACTAAAAACTCAATTCAAAATTATAATACAAACGCAATTTAGTATATGCAATTAAAAAATACTAACTCCGTCTCAAAAAATTTGAACCTTGATTTTGATTAGTATAATATTATTGAAGTTATAAATTTTATACTTTTTTGAAAGTAATTTTAACAAAGAACATTTTCATATAACTTTAATATTATAAATAATTTTCAATAAAAATGTAACCAGTCAATGTTTTGAAAATGAATTTTTTTTTTGAACAGAGGAAGTAATTTATAGTAACTCAACATTTTATAGAATATTAAAAAAATAAGTGTGAGTGGCTGGACAACGCTAGTCATTTTTTACACAGTCTCCTTGACAAATATTTAACATATACAACTATATATTTTAGCGCACGACAATATCAACTTAATTCATATATTAATCGTTCCTTCTCATATATATATATATATATATATATATATATATATATATTACTCATTATACAAACAATTAAAGAATATGATAACATTGAATTAAAATAAGAACATGATAAATACTTAATCTGAGATATACAATTATAAAATAAAATTTCAATTAAATTTACAACAAAACATAATTTGATATATGCTATACAAGAATAATTAAAATAAATCTACACCAAATAAAAAACGTCAATATAGATTTAAATCCACATCATACTTGCTTGTAAAAAACTGAAATTATGATTGTAAGAAATTGTGTATATTAGTGTTGGATTTTTTTTTTTAATTTTTTGTAAACAAAAATTATATTTCTACATGTTTTTTCATTAATAATATAATTTTTTTTGTTAAATTTAGGGTGAGTTAGTCCAACCGTTAGAATTTAATTTTTTCTTGTTTTTATTTAATGTAGAGATATTTTAAATTATTTTTGAATTGAATATATCATATTATGTTGAACTTCAAAATACTAAATACATACTCCGTAGTTGTTACAATGTTGTAAAGGTGATATTGTGTAAACAAAAGTCAACATGGTTCAGTAGTTTGCATTTTGGAAGTGTATCGATATGGTCGTGAGTTCAACTCCTAGATGCAACGGATTTTTTTTTATTTTAAGAGCAATAGCCAAATATCTGATGACGTGGAATATAGGTGAGGACTGGTGAATGATGTGGAGCAGGTGATGTGGCAAAAGTGGATGACATGGAAGAAAACACCCTGTTTTGGGAAATAAGTTTAAAAGTACACTTAATTGGCAAATAAGATTGAAGACTACCTTCATTTGGGAAAAAACTCCTCTATACCAAGTTTTTTTTTACCGGGTAACATTTACCGGATTTTATTAAAAATAAGAAAAAGTACAAAAGGTGAGGGGGACTAAACCAATACCCCACCAGAGAAGGTATACCTTTTCAAAATACAAGAAGCACTGAGAAAGAAAAAGAAAAGTTTGGGGGGACTATACCTTACCCAAACAACAATACAGAAATATGAGAAGAAATTAGCGAATACAAGGAATATTAGGAAAGTCCAATTCAATGAGACTTGAAATGGAGTTGGAAAGACTGAGCTTGTTGTTAAAAAATTTAAGTTGACTAAGATGAATGTCTTCTTGGGCTAAAGCATGAGTTGTTGAATTGATTTCCCTATAGATATGCCTTAACTGACACACGCCTAATTCCTAACAGATTCTCTGACCCTGTTTAATCGAATGCAGCAGATGGAGAGCTGGTCTTTGGACACCTTTCAAAGCTTTGATTACCATCTCAGAATCTGTTTCAAGCTGGAAGTCCTAAAAACCTTGACCTTGACCGTGAAAAAAAAAACAACAAAAACAAACAATAAAATAACAACCAGCACGCAGGGAAACGAGTTTTGACCCGCCGCCCCATGGCGGTGGTTCAGGAGGAGGTCGTACCATTGGTACCACTCAAATTGATCCTTCATTGTCAACCGAAACCAGGCCTACTCGAAGCCCGTTCAACTCTCCTCGTCCCACGTACAAGTCGGCTATGATCTCCATCGGCCCCCCTTCGTGTTCGCGTTCTTCCTTATACATCATGACAGAGAGATTCCTTCCCTTCGTTCTTCCTCTGCCGAATTAGACAAGCATGTCCGCCGAACCCTTCCAACGCAAGCTTCAGCCCCGAGTCAGAAGACTCTAGCCCAACCTTTGCGTGATGACAAGCTGATGAAGACGAAACTGAAACCAAGAAAGCAAAGCCGATCTTCGATCAAAGAGATCGAAACCGGAAAAAACGACCCTAGCGGCACTAACCCTAGGGAGAAAAACAGCGGCTATTGGTGTTGAACTCTTGAAAAATAAAAAATACATAACAATGTTCCATTCAATAAATAATAAAATAGTCTTAATATAATATGATTAAAGGGATGCAATTAATTATCTCCAAAATCAAGCTTCATGCGGCAAATATGGGGCAAACAAGTCCAGATCAAATCTTTAAAATAAGTATCAAGTTTGACAGGTCATGAGCAGCTATTATTTAATTTAGTAAATAAAATGCAATGACAGAGCACGAATCAAGTCTCTACTCCAGAAAATAATCATGTCTGCAAGAGTGCAGGTATTCCTGCGAGCATCAACCTAAAAATAGTGAGACTCCCTAAGTAATGTACTACCACCCCCTAAGTAATGGTGAGGAAAGGAAAACATTATAGCATATAATTTATATTAATACATAAAATCCACATATAGGATTATACATATATATTCTATATATACAAAAGTAGTAGGACCCATATTTAATATACTATTTATCTAACTATCCAATTAAATAGAATTTAATATACTAATGATCTAATTATCTAAAGGTTGCTACCTTTAGATAATTATCTAACTGTCTAGTACGTATTAGTTTTGGAGTTTATCTCTCTAGGGCGATTTTCGCCGCTAGGGTTTATTTGTCCGCTATCGGCTCTACCGATGAGCGGCCGCCGGGAGGCGGATGTATGTCAGTGAGTGGGGTGAGGTCTTGCAAAAGGTCGGCAGCTCTACCGTTTTTGTGAGAAGTGTGCAATCCAGAATGTGGTCTTGCAAAAGATCGGCGAAGACAGCGAAGGATTGATCTTCGACGATGACGTTGGAGGGGAAATTGTGACGAGCGATGGGAAGGTGACCGTTCCGGTGATTGGCATGATAGGTTCTCAGATGAATTTTATGGCGGTTGAAATTCTCTTTTACCATACTACAGCAGCTCGCCCTCCTCCGGAACCACCTCCCTGTGAGGAAGTAATTTGGGAAAAGTTTTTATTTTCGTATTGTTTTTCCTTTCACGGTACTTATATTTATTTCAGTTTGAGCAAGTATGGTTGGAGTATTTTGATTTTGAATGAACTCTTGATAGGCAGTGTTTCATTTTTGACCATTTCAGGCTTCCTCTTGCCCGTTTTGTGTCTAGCGAGTCAGGTTGCTTTGTATGGGTGGTTAACTCTAAGTCTATTCCGAGGACTTACGATCGGATCTGTAATATCTGTCTGGATTTGGTCTTGCGTGTTTGCTCTATTTTAATGGAAAGCCATTTTGATGATTAAAAAAAGGTTGCTACCTTATAATAATGATAGGAGGATAATCCATTCACATGTCCAATTTACAAAATTAGTTGGGCATCGATCCCTAAGAAATTTCTAAAGCTCTGAGTAATCACTTCTATAATGTGTTCATAGTCTTCAAATAGAAATTAAAGTTAGGATAATGAATTACGCTAAACCTTCATGTTTCAATTCCATGTTCTTCTACTTAGATCATTCGTTTTTGTATTGACCACTTCCGATTCTTAATTATAATTAATGATATCAAAAATCCATGCTACATATAAGTATAACTGATTTTAAAATAGACTTTGATTGTGAGCTACAAACATCATTACACGTAAATTTTGGACTTAATAGCATAAAATAAAACTAGGTTGGAATTTGGAAGTAAACAATTATCTTCCTCCTTGTTCAAAGTTACTGACCGGGCTAAACTTGCAAGTGTACAAGTGCCGATATAGTAATAAATTCCGGTAAAATACCGGGTCGAATCCACAGGGAAACGTTGTTTAATTTAGTCCGAGAGTAGATGACTTTAAATAAATAAATGAGTAAAGTGCAGAGATTTTGAGTTGTGTGTTGTTGTAAAAACAACTTGATTCTTCTTTTTAATTTTCAGAGATATAACTAAAATTAATTTGATTAAAGTGATTGATAACAACAACTAAGGCTTCGGGAATCACTTAAATGCTTTAATAGGGTTGAATATTAGTTCTTTACCAATAATTATGAATACGATGTCGCTAATATATTCTCAACTCCGGTTAAGGCAGCGAGAGCGTGGTTTTCGTTACGTGTAAGTCCCGTTACGGCTTACATTCATCTACCGAAAACCCCGTTGAATATCAAAACATCACACCCGTATCATATAATACCGGATATATTTCTATTCTCGGTAATATATATGTTTATCCTTTAATGTTCATAGTTTAGACTTCAACGTTAATTGCAAGCATAAACTAAGTTTAACATACTTCTATGTTGTACACCATAGTCATAAACAATCAAAATGTAAAGGATAAATCACAATTTATTGGTTTAGAACTTTTATCAAACACCTAATGGGCATAGAAGTTCATCCCTAGCCTTAGCTAAGAACTTAGCCTCTAATGCTCATATTAATTACAAAAGTGTAACTAAGATAAAGGAAATACAATAACATACAAGAAATAATACCTAGAACCAATTGTAGAGGAGAGAAATGGCTTCTTCTCCAACACTTCAAGAGAATGCAAAAATAAAATATAAAAACTGAAATTTAAGCTTCAAGGATGGATTGATGATCTTGTTTGATGAATTGGGGGCTTTATATAGGCTAAAGATTGACATCTTTTAGTCTATTCGAGCCCAACAATCAAGCATGGAAGATATATTTGATTAGCTCATGAGGAAGGTGAGTTTTTTCCATCAAAATATTTCAGCACGTTCTTTTGTATTTGCAGGATCAGACCTACCCGGCGCCGGGTTCAGGCCTACCCGGCGCCGGTTCTTCATTGTGCGCAGGGAAATCTGAAATTTTGGCCTACCCGGCGCCGGGTATAAGGCCTACCCGGCGCCGGGTAAGCTACTGGTTTGTGTACATGTGAAAATCAACAAACGGGCGCCGGTTTGGTGCAAATTCCGGTGCCGGTTTTGTCCTAGGATTTTGGGGATGTTCCGCTACGAATTTGGACATGATTCCTTCACCAAAGTTGTAGATAATGAAGTCTTCTATCCAACAAAACTTGAATGACATGATTTTATTCAGCCAATCAAGAGATATGGATAAAACACTGAGAGGTATGCATCCTGAAATCCCACCAGCAACATCTGACTTTGTTGGTTGATTGAGTCTTGTTCCTTTCATATTTTGGTCATGACGTCTTCATAACATTTGTACCTTATTGAGTTAGCATTCACATGAAACTCGAATCGAGTGATTTCGAGTTCTATAGAATACGTTATACTCAAATTATGGGCAGAACGTCATTCTCTTGGTCCAAAAAGTCGTTCATCGCAATGTTTTATGATCAAGCTCTCATTCTGGAGGTATTTGCCCGATTTCTCTTCTTTTCTTAAACAAATACTTATAAATACTTATGTTAAACACAAGTAAATATAACGGCTATCAAATCCCCCCACACTTGAGCATTGCTCGTCCTCGAGCAATTTCTTCACCTTGGATGCCTTGGTTAGTTTCAACAAAAATATATGCACAAAAATAATTTTATTTTTAAGGGAGGTATAAAATTATGTAAACTCCTTTATCATTCTCGGTCCAAAACCAAATTTCTATTAGACACACAAAACTATCATTAGATTTAGAAAAATTACTTATACACTTGAGAGTAGATGAGTGGATTGTGACTAAGACTTTTTGGGTGTGTAGAATGGCTTTTTGGTGTATTTGACTTTTCAGTATAGAATTGGATCAATTGGAGTTCTTGGGAGAGACCATGAGGTTTTTTTTATAACTCATTTGAATTGGTTCTCAACAAGTATTTTCTGAAAGTCATTTTGATGATCCCAATTTATTTGATGAGACATGAGGGTGGCTTGTTTTCCAAAATGGTTCTTGAATATTTGAGATGTACTTAAACCATTTTTGGACATGGAAGAAGATGATGTTTCCTAGTCACAAGGTTTATTTTGGGAATGGTTTTCAAGAGTAAAAGTAGTCTAAAAAAATGATAGGTTTTTGTAAGTAATTAAAAAAAAAACTTTCTCAACCAAATACCCGTTAAAAAGAGAATTATCAGAACTTTTACCTTCCTAAAAAAATATTTTGCACACAAAATTTGTTTAACTAACCATGAGATACACCCCCACACTTGAGTTACATTGTCCTCAATGTACATTGGCGGATGCAATGGAGGATGAAATATTCAATAGCGGAATGGGCCGTCTTGTGAGAGTAGGAGATGCACAATACATGAGTTTAGATGATGCTTTTTTTTTTTGCTTTTGTTTTGTTTTTGTTTTTTTTTTGTTTTTTTTGGGTTTCAATTATAAATAAATATGAATATGTATTTAACTAAACATATTTATTTATAATTGAATTTGTTGGGTTGCCTCCCAATTAGCGCTTAGTTTAACGTCATAGGCCGGACGCAACGTACCTCTCACGTGTGATTGGGCTCTTGAAGACGTTTGACCAATGTTACCTTTTTGAGATCGTGGGGAGGCCATGGAGTTGTCCGTCCATTCTTTTCATTCCCGTGGTGTGTTGGAGGGATGGAAGGATTTGTGTTGACCTCCATGTTTTGAGTTGGTATGGATTGTGTTTTCCATACATTGAATGTTTCATCGTCTCCTCCCACTCTTAGCTTTACAGTGCCTGCTTGCACATCAATGACGGCTGCGGAAGTGGCCAAAAATGATCTCCCAAGGATGACGGGAACCTCCATCTCTTCCATGTCTAAAACAAGAAAATCTACCGGAAAGTAGAATTTTCCTACTTTGACAAGGACGTCCTCCATGATGCCTATCGGATAGCGGATTGTTCTATCCGCTAATTGCAAAGCAACCGTTGTTGGTTGGAGTTCCCCCACACTTAGCTTTTTAAATAGGGAGTGGGGCATGAGATTTATGCTAGCGCCAAGGTCACAAAGAGACTTTACCTCCCCGACTTTTCCGATAGAGCATGGAATAGTGAAGCTTCCGGGGTCTTTTAGTTTTGGAGGAAGTTTGTTTTGAATAATGGCACTACATTCCTCCGTTAGTGCCACGGTTGCGAATTCCTCTAACTTCTTTTTGTTGGAGATGATGCCTTTGAGAAATTTTCCGTACGATGGAATCTCCGCAATGGCCTCCGCAAAAGGTATGTTGATGCTCAATTTCTTGAAAATATCAAGAATTTTCTTGTGTTTCTTCTCATCTCCTTTCTTCTTCAACTTTTGTGGATAGGGGATGGGAGGAACATATTTAGGCATAATAGGTTGCAACGGTGTATGTGAAACCTCTTCTTGTTCCTCCAGTGTCATTCTTCTCTCCGGCATCTTGGGATCCTCCGTTTCCCTCCCGCTTCTTGTGGTAATGGCCATGACGCTCTCCCTCGGGTTTACCTCCGTAGTTGTAGGGAATTTACCTTGCTCTCTAGAACTCACTTTTTGGGCGAGTTGTCCCAATTGAACTTCAAGATTTTGGATGGACGCCTTGGTATATTGCTCAATGGTGTCGATGCGTTGGTTGAGCTTTATATTTTGATCTTCAAAGCGAAGATCCAACTTGTTGAATTGAGAGTGGAGATTCCCAATGGATGCCTCCACTCTACTATGGTTCTCTTCATTTTGGGCCTTCATGCTTGCCATGCTTTTGGACATGAATTGCATCATATCCTCCATGGTGGTCTCCTTGGATTGCCCAAAATTAGGTGCTCCTGATTGGGGTTGTGAGGAACTTGCTTGTGGCTTCCACCTTTGTTGATTAGAATAATTATTGTTCCCCCGATTCCCATAAGAGTTCATATAATTTACATCTTCAAGATGTTGAGATAAATCACTTTCCGGGCTTGGTATGCTCTCCACGTTGGCTATTTGCTTGACTCCTCCCAATACGGCTTGTAGAGCCGTTTGGAATTTTTGCTCAATCTTTGACTCCATTTCTTCAAGCCTTTTGTTTATCTCCGTCGTGATAGAGATTTCATTAATCCCGACCACTTTGTAATCGCCTCCTTGAAGTTGAGGATTTGAGGCAATAGATTCAATGATTTGGAGCGCCTCTGTTTCATTTTTATTTCCAATGTAGCCCTCGGCTCGGTTGTCCACAATGGCTTGACAAGGTGCATTCAAACCATTGTAGAACGTGTCAATTTGAAGGTCTAGGGGAATGCGGTGATGTGGGCATTCCCTTAGCAATGATTTGAAACGCCGCCATGCGTCTTGAAAGAGCTCACCATTTTGTTGTTTGAAATTGAAAATGCTTTGTCTAAGCTCTTGAGTCATGGTGGGCGTGTAGTACTTAGACATGAAGGCATTGTATATACCTTCCCATGTTGTGTAGCTTGCCGGAGCTTGCTCTAGGAACCATCCTCTTGCCGCCCCTTTGAGAGTATAGGGGAAGCATTTGAGCTTGAGTTGATCCTCCGCCAAGCCATTTCTAGGGATTCCTTGAATGAATCCGTAGAACTCCGTGATGAAGTTGAGTGGATTTTCCCCAAGCAAACCATGAAACTGAGGCATAGCGTTGAAGTAGCTTTGCCTTAGCTCATAGTCTCTTGCTTCCTCGCTCAAGGTGATGCAAGATGGTGTAGCGGCCACCACGGGTCTCTTCCTCTCATTCAAAGTTGGCAACATCTTTGTAGCTTTTTGCTCTCTTCGAATGTGTTTGCAAGTTTTTTCTATTTCAAGATCAAGTGGTTCAAGAATTTTAGAACCTTGACCTGTCAATTGCATGCAAACACAAGGGAATATCTACACAAGAAAAAAAAATCCTTCCAAGATCAAGTGAAGTTGTGAAAAATAAATTCAGGATTTTTGATTGGTTGATTGTTTGGACTTTATTAAACAAGACCGTTTCCCCGGCAACGGCGCCAAAAACTTGACCGGGCTAAACTTGCAAGTGTACAAGTGCCGATATAGTAATAAATTCCGGTAAAATACCGGGTCGAATCCACAGGGAAACGTTGTTTAATTTAGTCCGAGAGTAGATGACTTTAAATAAATAAATGAGTAAAGTGCAGAGATTTTGAGTTGTGTGTTGTTGTAAAAACAACTTGATTCTTCTTTTTAATTTTCAGAGATATAACTAAAATTAATTTGATTAAAGTGATTGATAACAACAACTAAGGCTTCGGGAATCACTTAAATGCTTTAATAGGGTTGAATATTAGTTCTTTACCAATAATTATGAATACGATGTCGCTAATATATTCTCAACTCCGGTTAAGGCAGCGAGAGCGTGGTTTTCGTTACGTGTAAGTCCCGTTACGGCTTACATTCATCTACCGAAAACCCCGTTGAATATCAAAACATCACACCCGTATCATATAATACCGGATATATTTCTATTCTCGGTAATATATATGTTTATCCTTTAATGTTCATAGTTTAGACTTCAACGTTAATTGCAAGCATAAACTAAGTTTAACATACTTCTATGTTGTACACCATAGTCATAAACAATCAAAATGTAAAGGATAAATCACAATTTATTGGTTTAGAACTTTTATCAAACACCTAATGGGCATAGAAGTTCATCCCTAGCCTTAGCTAAGAACTTAGCCTCTAATGCTCATATTAATTACAAAAGTGTAACTAAGATAAAGGAAATACAATAACATACAAGAAATAATACCTAGAACCAATTGTAGAGGAGAGAAATGGCTTCTTCTCCAACACTTCAAGAGAATGCAAAAATAAAATATAAAAACTGAAATTTAAGCTTCAAGGATGGATTGATGATCTTGTTTGATGAATTGGGGGCTTTATATAGGCTAAAGATTGACATCTTTTAGTCTATTCGAGCCCAACAATCAAGCATGGAAGATATATTTGATTAGCTCATGAGGAAGGTGAGTTTTTTCCATCAAAATATTTCAGCACGTTCTTTTGTATTTGCAGGATCAGACCTACCCGGCGCCGGGTTCAGGCCTACCCGGCGCCGGTTCTTCATTGTGCGCAGGGAAATCTGAAATTTTGGCCTACCCGGCGCCGGGTATAAGGCCTACCCGGCGCCGGGTAAGCTACTGGTTTGTGTACATGTGAAAATCAACAAACGGGCGCCGGTTTGGTGCAAATTCCGGTGCCGGTTTTGTCCTGGGATTTTGGGGATGTTCCGCTACGAATTTGGACATGATTCCTTCACCAAAGTTGTAGATAATGAAGTCTTCTATCCAACAAAACTTGAATGACATGATTTTATTCAGCCAATCAAGAGATATGGATAAAACACTGAGAGGTATGCATCCTGAAATCCCACCAGCAACATCTGACTTTGTTGGTTGATTGAGTCTTGTTCCTTTCATATTTTGGTCATGACGTCTTCATAACATTTGTACCTTATTGAGTTAGCATTCACATGAAACTCGAATCGAGTGATTTCGAGTTCTATAGAATACGTTATACTCAAATTATGGGCAGAACGTCATTCTCTTGGTCCAAAAAGTCGTTCATCGCAATGTTTTATGATCAAGCTCTCATTCTGGAGGTATTTGCCCGATTTCTCTTCTTTTCTTCAACAAATACTTATAAATACTTATGTTAAACACAAGTAAATATAACGGCTATCAGTTACGCTCTTATTTTAACTTTTATATTTAATGTATTCATTTGATCATTAATGTTGACCAATTTGTATCAGTGTCTAATTAATTTTTTAAAAATAAATAATTTAGATCTTTTCTCTGATCTCTGTGCTTTAGTACAAGGGTAAGATTGCATACATCTGACCCCCCTCACCCCCACCGCAAGTGGGAGCCTTTGTGGCATTGGGGTGATGATGATGATGATGATATGATGATGATGATGATGATGATGATGATGATGATGAATTAATTTAGATGTTTTAAATATGTTATTTTCAACATCAGAAGTAAAATAAAAGATTCAAATAAAAATCCACAAAAGTCAATCATGAATTTGAATATGAGGGGGATCTTGATGATAATTGTGATATTAAAGATATTTTGCGTATTATTTTTAATATTTGATCATTAAATTAGTGATCATTTAATAGTGCTAATTGTTTCTTAAAATAGAAATGAGAATCTTTAGTCATCACGTTCAAAAAAGAAAAGCGGGAACTTAAATTGGGACAGAGAGACTAGTATAAGAAAATTATAATAATGAAGTGTTACAATTATTTTGATTTAACTACGCCCCCACAAGATAAGTTTTTTGGATCCGCATCTGTGCACTTTACAATTTAAATATGAGAAATAGGAAATAATGCAATGAATATTATGATACAAACAAATAAGATGTCATTTGGTTAGTTATTCTATACAAAAAGATTGAAACAATTTCAAATCTATGTATAGGGTATATGGTTCTAATGAGAACATTTCTTTTCTCAGGTATATGAGAATGATCCAGAACGATGCATCGATACACATTACGGTTCATAACGGTCCACACTCGTGGCTAAGATAATATACAATACGTTTACGTAGACATAAAAATTGAATTGGTTTACATAAATGACACAAATATTCTGATTCGTGATGGTGCACATTTCTGTTCACATCAATACATAATGCACAATCTCCAAATGTAACGGTGCAATTCAGTCTCATTTTTCTCCTTAGATCGTGTTCTTCTTTGATCTAAATTCTCTCTCCAGTGTGTGTACACGTGTGTGTAGAAGTGTCCTATTGATAATACTTTAAAATTAGAACTTTTAATCACTACCTTTAATTTTATTCAATCATTAATTAGAGTTGTAAGATAATAGTATTCACCGCAAAGATTAGTGTGTTATTCATTCAGTATAAATAGCTTGCTTTGCTAAAAAATTACAATTGCTAACCGATAACTATGTATGGAAGAGTAGCCAAAGAACATAATCGAATGAGTGGATATTATTTACACATTAATGAATGAGTTGTGCGCTAGCATGCGAGACCTTCGGCGAGCAGGTTGTTACGTGTGTATGATGCATGCATGATCATGCATGGCATGATAATTCTATCACACCATCAAATGGATGTGAGGGCTTAGGTGTGTAGCGTATAGATTTGTTAGGGACGGAATATTTCGTCTTTGCTACGAGCGATCATAAGATGGTGGATGGGCTGAACTGATTATGATGGTTCTGTAGTAGTGGGTAAAGGGTGCTTTAAAGTTATGGTGGGAATACGTAAAGGGAGACGTGTCAGGAGAATCTGGAGAGGGTGTGGGGTTTGTTTGGTTGGTTAGAGGGGATAGTAAGTTAGGTATGAGACAAGGGGATGTGGAGGCAGACAGAAAGTCATAGGAGGGGGGAATGGGCGGTTTTTGTTGTTGGAATGGAAAAGGGATTCGTTAATTGTAACGTTCTTCAAATAATGATGCAATGTGTAGATAAGTCAAGGCATTTGTATCCTTTTATGCTGAGTAGGCAAACCGAGAAAGACACAAGGGATAGTGCAAGCGAGTTTGTGGGTAGGAGGGAGATGGGGGTAGCATAAGTAACTGAAAATGCAAGCGAGTTTGTGGAGTAGGCAAACGAGCTTGTGAGTAGGAGGGAGATGGGGGTAGCATAAGTAACTTAAAATGCGCAAACGAGAGAAAGTAGGTTCTTTATGATATATGACTATGGTAGGGGATTTAAAGGTGAAGGATTTGCTTAGGAGAATATTATGGAGACATGTGGCCATGAAGCAGAAAGGTATGACTAATATTATTTATGGAGCGTGTTTTGCATTCTGGTTTACCATTTTGAGGTGAGGTATATGGACAAAAGTAGTGGAAAGAGGTTCCACATATGGAGCAGAAATTGTGAAATAATGAATTATTATATTCATGACAATTATGACATTGTAGGGTTTTAATATTTGTTTATAATGGAGTTTGCACAAACGTGTAAAATTGCACAAATGTAAAAAGCACATCAGATTTGCGATTGAGAGGATAAATCCACATAAAAATGGAAAAATCATCTAGAAAAAGAAAATATTATCGGTGACCAGTGGAACTTAGAATTAGAGAAGTCCACATGTCACTGTGTATGATTTCAAAAGGGGGTGTGAGTATATGATAAAGATGGGCAGAAGATAATTTATTATGTTTTCCCATTTGTCATGAGTGACAAACATCAATATATGTTTTGTTACAATCAATGAGATTATTAGTGCTAAGACTACGAAAAAAATGAATGTCGGAGTGTCCGAGACGATTGTGCCAAGTAACGGATGAGAGGCCGGTAAAGTTGGTGAGATGTAAATTGGTATTGGAGAGGAGGAAACACACTGGATACAAATCACCTTGACTATTACACCGCATGATCGGGGTTCTTGTACGAAGATCCTTCACAGAAAAACCAAGTGGATAAAATTCAATGGTCACATGGTTAATGATAGTGACTTTCGTATAGAAATTAAATTTTTAATAATATGTGGGGTTTGTAGGACATTTAGTGGTTTAAGTGGAGGAAAGGGAGAGGAGAAAGAGGTGTGACAGTGACATGTAACGGGAATGGATGAACCATTTCCAACGATGATATTGCCTTCAAAGGTCATATTAATAAAAGACGATCGAGAGAGTACTTGAGTCCGACATCATGTAACTGGTAGCCTCACTGTACCAACTATCATTGGGCGGATTGAGTGTCATGGTGTTCATGGAGGCATAAAAGTCGAAGGGAAGATAGTTGGTTGTAGGGGACTGACCGAGTCCAACAATCGTTGCTTGCGAACAGTGGCCCAGAATTCTGGCAGGTTGCGAGTGTGTAGGGTGTTCCCACGTGGCCCAAAATGGAAAATGGCTATAAAGTGAGCGTAGGGTGTTCCCACATCCTTTCCCACAACTAGAGTCGTAGTGGTCGGCCCCATGTCCATGAGAGCCTCCCGACAAAGGTGTAGGAGAAGTTGGATGATTGGAAGCTGTGAGAGCAAATCCAAAAGAAGATGAAGTGGCCGTCAGTTGATGGGATCAGCAAGATTCCTTCAAAAGCATCATGGATCTAGCCCAATCAAAGGAAGGTAATGGATCGGTTTGTTGGATGAAGGAGGCCACAATTTCATAAGACTCTGTAAGGCCACGGATCATGCATAAAACATAACGTTTATTATTGACCGGAGTGTCAACATTGGTCAGTTGAGTAGAGATGGTTTGGAGTGTTTGGCAGTAGGCGGAGATGGATGGGAAATTATCTAACCTAATATGAGAGAATTGATCTTCGAGGTAGAGGGTGTGTGATGATTTTTTTTGTCGTGGAAGATATCAGTTAGGTGATCCCAAGCAGCCATAGTGGTGGAGCCGGGTTTGAGAAGGGTGTGTAGCAAAGCGTGGGATATTGTGTTGTAGATCCATTGGAGAATAACTACATCAAGACGGTGCCGGAGGGCAGTGTCATGAGTAACGGAAGCATGTGTGACAATGGTGGTGTCTTTGTTGGATGGGATGGTTGTGATCAAGAGCATCTTATGCACGAGCGGTGACAATGATGGCAGGGTGGAATTTTTTTTAGAGGGTGAAACCATGGTGGAGAGGATCAAAATGCGTGATATTAAGTTGGAAGACAATCGTATTCAAAGTAAATATCAGTGTGCTATTCATTCAGTATACATAGCATGTGTAAACATTTACATTTGCAAACCAATAACTATGTACGTAGTTGTATCAAAGTAAATTAGCTTTCTGATTGCATCAGAAATAGGAAGGCCGATGTCGGCACCGAGCTTTTCCTTAGTATCAACCGAAGTAAAAGAGGAGTTGCATGTAGTCATACCAGCACGAGTAAGGATTTCCAAAGCATATTTTTGTTGTGAGAGGAAGATGCTGCCAGATTGACGTTTTATGATAATGCCGAGAAAATATGTAAGGGGGTCCAAGTCTTTTAGGGAGAATTCTGCACCAAACCGAGAGATGAGGTTATCGAGCAGTGTGTGTGTCCATGTGGAAGCGGTGAGTACGATGTCGTCCACACACAGAAATATATAGGTCATAACACCGACATGATGATATATGAACAAAGAGTGATCAGCTTTATTGTTATGAAACCCAGCTTGGCGGTATGTGTGGCGAATTTGTGGTATTATGCTCAGGGCCCATTTTAAACCATATAAAGAATTTTTAAGGAGGCCCACATGTGACCGGTGGAAGGAGTCTTTAAACCCGGGTGGCTGATGCATATAGAATGTTTCGTCAAGAAAGTCATGGAGGAAAGCATTGTTGGCGTCAAGTTGATGAAGAGGCCACAAATAAGAAATGGAAATGTGGAGGACCGTGCGAATGGTGGCCAAATTAACCATAGGGCTAAAAGTTTCATCACAATCAATGTCGTGGCACTGAGATTTACCGTTGATAACTAAATGTGCTTTATGGCGCTCAAGAGTCCCATCCGACCTGTATTTATGTTTAAACAACCACATGCAATGTGTGATATTAGAATTAGGGGGGGGGGGGGCGAGGAACCAACTCCCATGTCTTATTATTAATAAAAAGTCGTAAATTCATACATCATAGCTTTTTTCTAGCTAGTTAGGGTCACTTAGGGCATGTATGTGGGATTTGGGGAGTGGTGATGGTGTGATGGGTGCGAGGGCTTGGTGTGTAGCGTATAGATTTGTTTGGGA